GGTTCTCTCATGATTCCTCATTTTAGTACAGTTCCTTGAGCGGCTGATATTAATCCTTTGAAGCCGAAGCTCGTCTAAATATCATTTAAGAATTTAGTCCGTACCGCAAAGAAAATACACTTCGCTATTGCAAAGATCAATATATTAACGCTGTTTAACGAAATAATCCATGTTTACACTGAGAATCATGCAAGACACACAGATACAAAACGCATAGTTACCTAATGTTAACGCAGGTGGTACACCGTTACCATCGGGCTTTAAATGGTTAACAGGATTACACTGGGTTATTAATAAGCGTAATCACCGTATCACAAAAACCCGTACTGGGCCTTATCCTGTACCATATTTGATCAAATTAATCTACCCATACAAAAAACAATGTCGGTTGCTTAGCTGGCTGGTTGGATGGAGATCATTAGCTGTTATTAAGGGATTCTGTGCCTTATATGATAATATTTCTGAAGGTGTTGTTACTATTACCATTGTGAAGGTATGATCGTTAGAGGATTTTGGGCTTCAATTTCCGAATCAAGTCTACAATATATTCCATTATGAGTGTACTAAGAAAATAACTAGGAATGGGACAATTCTTGCTACTGGATTCCGCATCGTACAGTTAGGCCCATTTTATTTCATGAATTTATATTATGCCCTATTCTATCCCTCTTAAAAAAAAGGAAGCATCATTCCGCCAGACCGATGCGTCGTGACGCCGTAGCAGCGGCTGTGACCACAATCTCGTCCTACGATGGACGCCCCCCCCCCTTCCAGGCAGATGCTGCTGGCTGGAAAACCATGGGTCAGTAACGAACGACATTAATTTTATCAAGCGTCACTATGTTTGTATGTGTGCAAAATGGCGACAGCTGGAATACAGCTTGGCTGACTGGTGGTAAAACTTCAATGCTACAGCAAAGTCTGGCTGCTATACATCTAAACTCAGTCTGACCAACTAACAAAATAATAACGTATTAAAAACTACACAAGGGAGGCGTAAGTGAGGATTACTGACTAGAATACACAAGATTTGCATCATGTGATTTCTACGAAGATAAGCAAAGCGTGAAAATTGCTGTACGTGTTAGCCAACTTAGTCCTTCCATGCTACACAAGAACAATTAAAGCTAGCAACTCGTGACTTTTCAACAACAGAAACTGTGAAAATATATTGACATAACTGTTGGTTTAACAGCAGACTTGTTAACTGATTAGGAATTGTGTGTTCTAGGACCTGAGAATGTCTGGCTGGTGTCTGGCGTCGAATAGACACCGGTCTGTTAACACACTTATTCTGACATTCTATCTTAGCACATTTAATATTCACATAAATCTAAAATACGAATTTTTTTTTGTGGAAACATACAACAACATTTGAAAGATTTTCCAAATGCGTTCTTTGCTTTAAACAGACATGCCTCACTCATGTTTATGTTCATCTACTGCATACACAAATCGACTGTGGCAAAGATTGCCACTGTACAGGTACACATGCATAGTAGACTGCTGCTATAACGAAAATATTTTTCTGCAAAAGAACGGTCCAAACTGACCTTTGTTGTGGCTTCCCTGCAGCTGCGGTTAAGTGGTACGCCATTATTAAATCAATGGTCTAGCAAAATGTTACACCAAATTACAATTTGGAGCCAGTAACATACAAACCAATTTAATTGACAAAACCTAGCCGGTAAATAAAAATGAAACACTGTCAGACTAGACGAGTGAAGGAGTTGATGTGTCGAGCAAAACAGAAAAATAATATTTTTTGACTATAGGCCAAGATATCAAACCCAGAGTAAGCCCATGGTAAAATAATTTCAACAGTTAATAACATTCAACTCGTCAATAAATTATTTATTTAGAACATTAAGTGATGTATAATCGACGAAATAAATATGACTATGCAGAAGGCAAATACGTATTTGCAATAAATAAACACAAAGACAAATGAGGTAAACGAAACTAAAAAGAGGGCATTTGGAAAACAATACACATTCCCTCAATTCTAGTACAAATTTCCACTTTTTTTACAAACGAAGACTGTTCGGTTTCAGTGTCGTTTCAGCCGGTATATTCAGTGGTCAGAAAGTTTCGACGTTGAAAATGTTTGGGAAGCGCCCTTTCCATGTTCCGCCCAAAATATCTCACGCTGAAGCACCTCTGGTAAATAGAATCGATGCTGTCAAACATCTGTGACAGAAACGTGTCCCGCCAGACTCTTCCAACTACTCTTAGCTTGGAATTTTATACGATAAGCCATCGAAAGGTAAACCGATTCAACTTGAGCCTTCCTTAAAGTCTAAACTAATATTGGGTCTACACGATCTCAAATGAAATCCACCCGAAAATGTTCATTGTAGACAAGCATTATAGAAATCAAACTAGTGTTTTCTGAGAGGAATCATGGCGTCTAAATGGAGGACAGTTTTTTTTCATACTACAATAAAAGGCATAAATCGCTGTATGGGTCTACGCTCTTTCGTTAATTTTCTATACTGTTTAGATGTCGTTAGAACAAATGGTAAGACAGACTGAGGACAATATGAGGAATTTAACTGTGCGGCCACTGGGTTCAACTTGTGCTACATTGTGCAGTAGGAACCGGAATTACTTTCACGACCCGCGGCGGTACAGTGTCCTTGACCCATACGCCACACATGGGCTACTCTTCTTGTGGATTCCGGCTCCAGTTGGATCCAGCCCACCTGCTGGAACTAGCTGCCAGTACACACCTGACTTCACTAAGGTTTCCGAAACACAGCCCAAAGAATTGTGCCGGCCTTTCCTTTTATGCCTGATTCGTTTTCCGTACAGTGTATGGCAGTTCTGGGATGATAGAAATTAATTAATAGGAAGAAGCAGTTTACTGTCAGCAGTGCAACGAAATGCACCTTGTTGGTTTTAATGTCACTACTAGTTCTGTTTCATCACCCTTTTCTACTCTCCTGCTCACACTTGAAGTAGCGTCTCTGGCCGCGCCTGCTCGTAACGTAGCACGCCCCGACTAAGCCGAAAATTGTTACATCTTTTCGTTTGAAATCCAAACGTCGAAGCGTGCAGCCTCAAGGTTGTAGCGGCAAGAGTAAACATCAGTAAGCCACGTTGTCGTGTCTAGTGGCAAGTGATTTACTCCAAAGGCAGAACAACTAGCAAAAATGTGACTGCTGGCCAATGGCTGCTCCGAGGCGGAAAGAGCTGAGCGCTGAACCGAGGTATCATCAAATAGCGACTCTGCTATAGCTGTATTAGTAGAGCACGAAAACAGTCTCTAACGCTTGAACTCTTTTATTCTGTCGCTTGCCGCAGCCGTGGTCCGTATCCACCCACAAGGCTGATTGTATTTCCAGCAAACATGCCAGCCAGCTTTTCACCTCACACAACGACCCAAGACAAAGAGAGTAATTAATCATCGCCCTATCGTCCTTCACGCGTCGTTGCTTGTTGGACGTCTAGTCCCCAGGGGCTAGGGACAGAGGACATCATGTCCCTGTGGCAGTTGTTCCTAAACTCAAGCGTCCCTTCCGATCATGACTGAAGCCTTTCATCCTTCAACCCTTCGCCGCCTCGAAGGATAAACGGTGTCGGAACCTTGGTCATCGAGTAAAGCTAATGGCATGGAAAGCGTGTAAGGGCAGGGTACGTACGTTGAAGCCTCTACTACCTTATTTACGAGTCAATCTTGGTTCCGCGTGCCGTGTTATCACAAACGAGGTTCTAGAAACCAAGTCATGGTGTGTAGGAAATGTCATTTTCTTTATCCAGACGACCGAGTCATGGTCATATGTTCTAATGCAAGGGTTAGTAACCTTTCCAGGCACGGGGCTCTATTCACCATTTTCTATCAACCGCGAGGTTACAAATGAGGGCAATAATTTACTGAAACGCCACTTAAATTTATTTAAAAAAACTACTAAATTAGGTTTACTACTGCAGACAGGTTCACATATTATTCAAAAAGTTTGACAAAATCATCATTTGCTTCATTAATCTTTCAATATCAGATTCATTTAATCTTTTCTGCGACTGACATAAGACAAATCAGTGCACTTCAGTCGACTTTAAACCCATTAATCAATCAATCAGTTCTGAAGAGCATAGTTCGAGCAGTGGGCTTCAGAGCTGCTCTGTATATCTATGGAGTACATAAAATAAGAAATTTAAAGTTATCCGGCTCGTAGCCATTCACATCACACATTAAGCTATGCCGACGCACATGACCCAACCTAAAGCATCCTGAAACACAAGGCAACCACAAATATTTAATTACCTCAATAAAACTTTACGGTGAAAGCGACAATTATAGAAAGCCATCAAGATCCGTCACGTTGAAGCCACACCTCAAATCTTATGTCAATATTTTGAAGCATCCTTGGAATGTAAGAATTTATAATTAGTCTACAAAATTCGTAGTACAGACGACGAAAAATCATTCTTTGAAAAGTATCCGCTAGTAGGATTCTTGGAGAGGGCGGGGGTGATCTGGAGAGTTTGAGGAACACAAGAATTCGGTTTCTAGTTCCAGCCCTTTTCGGGTGAACAGAATAAATATTCCACGATTAGAACATATTAAAATATCCATACTCATACACTGCATTTATACGACTTAAGCAGAACCACAAACACGAGGATACTAACAACTGACGGAGTAAAATGCATATTGCATACATGGACCGACATTTTTCGTGCTATTCATACAATTAGGCCATACTGCGGCTATTCAACACCACCGTAGTGCTGTCTGACAGACGAGTCGCTAATACATTCAAGATTCAACTCTAAATGAAACCCCCTACTGTTATGCAACCCGAACGTAAATTAACAACAGACGCTATACTGAGAAGGTACAATCCAGTCCACACAATTATAACATGTTTAATCCATGTCCCCTGTATCTAGATACCACGCCATGAAGGTATAATAAAAACTAGGTCTATGCATTTTACACGCTCAGTCTGCTTTGTCCCGGGGAAAATAGTTCCCGGTAATCATGAGGCATGAGATTGGGTGAATCCGACGCCATTAAGGTTCGTTAACATTGAGAACTTTTTGTACAGAATGTATGTTCTACAGAATAGTTCGGAAGAAACTTCAGGGACATGAAGTTATGTTCCATACAAATTAGTTCTATAAGACAAAATTTCTGTCATCGCCCGTAGCGTGTTCTGGAACTTGAGCACATTATTATACCACACGTCACTTGCAGTTTATGGCAGTAAATAAATATATGGCGTGGTCAAGCTTTACAGCATCTCAACCCTTAGAAGCCGATGCTCGTATAATTTTTTCAGAATTCAGTCCGTACGGCAAAGGAAACATAGCCCGTCTCCATGACAAAGTTCAATTGTAATTTACCCTTATCACATCACTTGTTCCGCGTACTCTAGTTCTGATTTCTCCTCGCCGACAACACGTTTTACCGTCATATCCAACATAACATGAACACCAACAGGACGACTTGGTAACTTTTGCACTTACGACAAGAAGGGTACAACTCGTGGCAAACTATTATCCGCCAATTTGTCTGCCTTTCCAGTTTAGTCATTCATATTGACAAAACTGAAATACGACGATTCCACTCCACACGAACCTCCAACACCAGGCTGGCAATTTCCTCTACCCCACACCCACAATACCACAAGCTCTAGAACTTCCTCTCAGACGGATTTGATGGTCTGGGCTGGCCCAAGTCCATTGGATAGCCACACGTAATTAGCCCTGTGATGTTCCTCTGTAGCTGAACCACAAACCCTCTCCTTCACACAAGCTAGTGGCTATTTGATGGCTGCTAGGTGCAAACTCTACCGCTTATTCTGGAAAATGGGATCCGTGGTTGCCTCACAAAGTTCCTCAAACTCATCTATAAATCCAACAATTCAAACTTCAAACATTTTGGCTTTCTCTTTCCGTACCGTCACTCACCTTTTATAACTGAATTTAACCCTTGTCACCCAGAATTTCTACCTTTTATCTTCCAACTCCACTGTACAAGAGTCCTTCTTGCGAAGCTCCACGATTTTGTTCAGCGCAGTTTTCAAACGTAAGCTTCTAGATCGTGTCGTCAGTCAGCTGATCCCAGATCCTCAAGCCTTATTGTTTCTCTGCGATTCGTTTTAATATTGTCCTCTCATTTACGCATATTTCTTCCACGTGATCGCTTTGTTTCAGATGTTCCCACTATACACTTGTACGGATTTGTCATCTCTTCATCAGCCAGCATGTCTCGTCTGTTTCATCGAGTTTTTCGTCCTAATATCACACAAAAAGTAGATCCAAAGGATGGCCCCCTTTTAAATGACAGACACACAAAACTTTCTTCTGCATATCTGTGAACGATGGAATTAAGATATCATCATACAAAACAACTACAGAGGCAAATTGCTTTTTATTTCCTTCTTAAAATTCAGAATGATGCGGATAAAAAATGTAGTTTAATTAGTAGAACTTCTATGGAAGTGACCATTCAAACAAAAACACTAGTTATGGTGGTGCAGGACTCTGGAGGAAAGGCATATGGTTCGACACAAACACAATCACCTTCTCAGTCTATTTTATTATCGTCGCTGTTTATACTGAAGTTATTTCCAGTGTACAAGCCTCATAAAATCTGCTGCTGAAGTTTATTAGAGACTTCACAGTGATTATATTGTCAAATCCAATAGCAAAATGTTAGTGGGTAAAGGTTCTTAAGAAAGCAGACTATCATATTTGCATCCGAGCGTTTGTCTACAAAAACTGCGGAAAACCATTAGAAACTTCAGTCAGGAGATTCATTTCAATCAACGACACATTCCGCGGGCTAGTGATTGTTTCAAGAACCCACTGGATGATACTCAATCTGGACTGCACAGGTATCAAAACGTCTGAGTCTGTAAATGAATATATTCTCGCAAGCGTTTAGTGAGTATCACCACCTTTAAACCAGGTGACGTTTCTCAAATGCCAGTTTGCTATATCTTCTTGATGCCACGTCGTATTATACATCGCTACAGCTGGAAAAATTAGTTGCAACATCTGGTGAAAACAGGTGACTTGTCAATTTCTTCTTTCCTTTTAGTGACCAAATATTTTGTGCTGAGCGTCACTACTTTCTTACTACGTAAGTTAGTTAACATTACTTTTCCATGTTATATGCTGTTCTTGCAGAGAGAGATTTCTGATAACGAAACGTAATTTTTAATTCTGAACATCTGATGCAGATGATAACGATATCACTCCAATTTTAATACCAAATATAACCACAGATTTTATATCATGAATAACGTGCTTTGACGTGCTACTAAAAATTGCATGTGTAAGCTATTATGTGTACTCTTTAACACGGAAGTCTGGTGACTTATTCCTAGACACATCCCACACTGTTATTTGCATTCTACAGCAGTGGTATTCAACCTGGGGTAAGCGTACACCCGGGGGTACGCGAAGACATCTTAGGGGGTACGTGAAATTTCGAAATAATATATATAACTTTATGATAAACACTGAATAATCAGTAATGTAATTTATTTAATTTATTTTAGATGTAGATTATACACTATGTATAACTTGAATTATAAACCAACAACTTTGGGGTACAAAGTTGAAGAGAAATTATGTCTGGGGGTACGCGAACAAAAAAGGTTGAATACCACTGCTCTACAGTATGAGACAAATATACAAGTCCTTAGAAAATCCAGTGAGAACCAGTACAGTACAGAAATAATAAATGAACCATGATACCAAAAAATGTTGAGATTTTTCTCTGTTCACACACCTTCACAGCCATCCACTAAGCATTTTTCTGAAGATTTAATCACTGGCAAAGTAGAAAATTTATGTTTATGCAGCAGTTTTTGATAGAAGGGTACGCTATCTGTTGACAAAATACAGCTCTTGCCTACATGAAATAGGGCATGTGGAGGTATAAATCCATGCATTCTAAACCTGGCACTAGCTGGAGTAAAGAAAACTCATGTTCCTGTCAAGAATAAAATCCAGCAGAACATTGGAAAATATTACTTTTCCTGATGAACAATCATAGCCCGCATAATGTTCGACACATTAAGTAAATACTTTTAAAAGCTTTACTGTTGTTTTTTAAATATACATTCGGTTACAGAGAATAACTCAACAGTAAAACAAAGGAGACGGAACAATAATTTCACAATAACGACTAACAATAAGGGAAAGGGGGCTACTTTCTTCACCTTAACAAGAGATAAAACTGACGATGTTCAGAGACAAAAGATTACGAAACATGCAAATACCTTCATACTCTATGCAAAGCATGTTCCACATTGAACATCACGATTCACAAGCTTACAGTAGCCCTCTCAACTGACCATTGGTTAGCCTAACTACTGGAAAAATTAGTTTAAATAACAAAACAAATTTCTTTGAGGAAGTTGTAGAAGCATGACAGCACATACAAAATTGAAAATTTGAGGATAAATTAACAAATGACTACATACCACTTGTCTCGCTCATCCATTAAAATACTTGGAGTAATATAAACTTCAAGCTACTTCCAAACTGGTACTACTTCACTAGGTTAGTTACGAAAACCTACAGCCACGCTAAATAAGAAATCAAAATGCCACAAAGACTAACCAGTTATAACCAAGATGTAAGAATGTTTCTCTGCTTAATGGCTCAAATAGATTAGCGTAGACCGGCTGAGGATCCTCACCACTGAGGCTAAAGGAAATCGAGTTCCAATTAAAAGAACTGGAATCAATTCTAACCTTCAGGATTTTCTGAATTTAACAGGAAGCTAGTTATATATGCACTATGTACACAAAACACAACTCTTTTCAGTTCTTGCTGTCCCCCTGTACACAATCTATATGTTATGTGTAAACAACAAATATCTGCATTTGTGTTCACTATTCTATCTCATATTACTTAAAACTGTATTAAGCGATATACAGTTTTGAATGCAGGAAACAAAACTGTTTAAAATATCATGAAAGTAGAGGGAGGTTCATCCCCACTTAATGGTACCTGCACCTTGTCGTGGTGGTGGGGCTTGAGTACCTCAGTGACCCCAAGAGCTATGCTGGTGGTAGCATAGCTACTGGTAGGGCCTCCCTAGCCAGATTGGTCGAGGGGGAGAGGTCAGACTAAGACAGGTACCCTGGTCCTCCAGGTTGGGGGTTGGCTAACAACCTTGCACCGTAAAAAGGAAGATGTTTCGAAACCTCGATCAAAGCCTCGGACAGACGGACCTAACAGTGGACCGAATCGAAGAGGAGAATTGAGGAGGCCATGGACTGAATACGGACCAGAGAGCCATAGAAGAAGAAGAAGAAGAAGAAGAAGAGGAGGAGGGAGGAAGAGGGAGGTTCAGCAATACAAATTAAACAAGGACAATACAAAAATGACTGTCTTCTGAAACAATGCTTCATGTAGTTTGGTACTTTGAAGTTTACTGGAACTGACAGGAAGACTTATGCATATCGTAGATGGAAAAATAACGGCAAAATTGAGTTTAGCGAAATACGGCTGGAGGATGTGAACTGGATGCATCCGCATCAGGGTAGGTAGGTATGTGAACATGCTAATAAACCTTCAAGTTCCATAAAAGGCATGGAACTTCTTGATTGAGAGACTATCAAATTCTCAAGGAGGGCAAAGTCAAGCTCACAAACTTGTTCATGCCATCTGCAGGCCATTGTGTAACTGTACATGATATGGAACAATATAAGCATGGGTCAATGGGTCACAGAACCTGTTGACTTGAGGACCCACTAATGTGTCTCCACACAACTATTATCATTGGCTTCTGATCAGGAAGCTGCTTCACCACACTTCTCACTCTGCAGACAAGTTGTGTCAAATGCAGTTAGCAAAGAGGAGAAATAAATGAATTTCAAATATACCACTTACATGGATGAGGTTGACCCAAACATTACACATTATTTGGACAAAATTCTTATAAAACAAATACCCATAAAACTTTTATGTAAAATAAAACCCACAGTGAATATGTTCAAATTTAACATACACTCACTCGTATCTCTTTCCCAGTCACCACATAGAACAGCCATGGTAGAGAAGCGAAGGAGATGTTACATGGTTATATAAGACTAATATCCAAAACCCAACACAAAGGGAGGAAACCACACAAAATATGAGTCTAAGGACACCAGAGTGTTAGAGTAAGGGCTCTTGATTCATGTGCACAGGCACTTTAGTTTCCCTTCTTCATGTATCATATAATTCCATTTAAATGGAATTATAACTACATATTCTGGTAAAGTTGAAGAATTATGAGAGAATGCTCGCAACGCTATTTTCAATCAAAAATTTTCTGCTTCAGGGCAGACTTTCATTCACTTTTGTCATATTTTATAACAGGATAAATTGTCCAGTCTCAGCATTAACTGTAATCAAAGTACAACTTACAGAAGTAATGTTACACAATAACAGCAGAAAATAATCTGATTTTACTTATGCTGTTTTTATACCTGTTAAGATAAAACTGCACATGCTGGAGATGAATCGCATGTATGGCGCTCGATTTTCACGCAAACATCATTAGGCTGACAAACACAGCTTAAACAAAATCCTTAGTGTTTAACCACTGCTCACAAAAGCTTGAATAATACAAAATAAACATACCTACCAACCCTGTCAATAAACTGACACACTTACATGAGTTATGAAATCTGGAAGTAACAACTCAAAAGAAGAGACAAAAATGAAGCACCTGTCCTTACCAGGCAGAACATGACCCATGTGACCACACAAAGAACATAAATGCCACAGCCCTAACCAGTGCAAATTGAATTTCAGAAACACTACTAAAAGCACACATCACACCTACTAAGAAAATGGGTAGCAAGTTACTGCATGCAAAGAGCCAAAAACTGGGACAAAGCCAAATCAAAGAGATGTGTTGCTTTCATTCACAAAATGTACATAAAACCAACTACCCACTTTCTCAGTAGGAAGCACACAACTATGTACACTTTTCTCCTTGTCTGCAACAAAGTCTCTCGCCACATGTAGAAAAGAAGATCAGAACTCGTTCTTGAGAAAATGAGTCAAGTCACACACATGTAAATACTAAGAAGTTAAGGAAAATTTTCTTACCGATCAGCAGGCCGCATTGAATGTTTAATTTGTTGATATTGGTCGCTATTGTAAACACTGTATCAGGAAATAACACAAAACAAAAAAATATACCACATCATGTCGATATGTCCCCATGTTTAACGTTTTGTGTAGTGTCCAAGAACAGATAGAAAATATAAAGAAAAATATACCTTTTTATAAAGCAAGTCTTCAGGCCAAGTGGTGCTCCTGCTGGACCCCAATCTGTCGGAAAAGCAACACTGACAATTCAACGCAAAATTTCTGTCAACATCTAAGTGGGTGTGTTCGTTCCACATGTCTAAGGAGCCGTTCAAGTAACTACTACTGATACGACTTGTGTGTGTGTGTGTGTGTGTCAGTGTGTGTTTGAGTGTGAGTGTAGGCACACGTGCTGACTAACAGACTGGTGTGAAATACAAGTGTAGTGGGAGTCAGGACTTCACAATCAGTGGAGGGACACAAACACGAGGGCACAAAAAAGAATAAAAAATTGTACCTTCCTTTATGCTTTTATATATCAATATTCCTCCAAGGGCGAGAATATTCTTTCACAGCTGCACTCGGAATTTCATGCAGAGAAAGAGCAAGGAGAGAAGTGTACAAACCTGCATACTCGAGTACCAATGAGTATCAAGTGGACCACTGAATCAATCCATGGAGACCAACACATGGAGTCTGTGGACAGAGAGGAAATGCCTATCAGTCAACCAACAGCCTTGAAATAGTCACTATGCACTGGATACAGGAAACAAACATATGTCTTATTCCAACAAACCAACACTGAGCACCAATAAAGAAGAGATAACGTTCGTACAGATGCCACATTAACATGTATTCAGCTATACAAAAAATAAAGGGAATCACAAGCTTCTACAGCACCTATGAACCGGCAATTATACTTTCATCTTCCCACTAAATATCCACAAATGTCAACATGACTTAAACTTCATGGCCCCGAGTAAAACATTACATAAAACTCGCTTGTATTTTAAATTCAATGCAGTATTCTATCAACTGTGTAAAGTGAGTCAAGTTACTGAGCCATGCCATAACTCAGGCAGTTAGTCACCAACTTCTTACCATCGAGGCCTATGTTCACACCAGGGCAGTGCATGTGGGGTTTGTGGTAAGCAGGGTGGCACTGGGACAGTAAACAGAAATTACTTTTGGTAAACTCTTTTTTTTCTCTGGTTTCTGATGAATGAAAATAAGCTACATCTTTAGCTCCCCCAAAGCATTAAACATAAAAGAGCCCATTTTATAATACCAAAACAAAAAATAAAATATACTGTAGCTCAATAAAAACATCACAAGATTGTCTGCCACACAGCTGGAATAATTTAAATCCTATTCATGTTACTCTTCTGATTTGTAGCAAAATTTAAACTTTTAGGTAGATACCAGCATTTTGGAGGAACATACTGCCTCCACCTTTATGGCTGAAGATGGAGGCTGTATGTTCTACATGGCATTACAACCCAGAAGACCAACACAGACATCTTTTCACTGCCATTAGAAACTCAAATCACAATTCAAATCTTTAACAGCTCTTTCACACTCAAAATTACAGAAACAATATTAAGATTCCTTCTTTTATTATTACCACTATTTTTCTAACACACATGCCTTATTCTTCTTCTGAAGCTTGTGACAGATGTTAACATTAAAAATATATAACATACAGACCAGCACAATTTTGTTGCATGTGATTCAAACACCTAGGTTTCACAATGTGATGAAAATAGACAATGTCATGACTCACAAAACTGTGGTTACAGGGTCTCAAAGAGTTATTCATTTACTGACTCAATGTCCTCATCTACACTCAGAAAGGCTGAAGGAGGAAAATATGGACAATTAACTGCATATATATGTACCTAAATGCCTAATTACAATGTAAATTATTAAGTACTAAGCAATTTAAGCAATTTTCCTCCTTCATAATAGTGGCAATCAAACAAAACATTACAGTCTGGCAATCATAAACATCACATGTAATATAGTTGATTCTCCTACGTCATACTTTAGAGATTCTAGGTTTAACCATATAAATTCAGATTAAGGCCATTTTTGGCAGGTACTAAAACTATCACGAAACAGCTATTTTAAGTGCCATCACTTTGGAGCTTACCAGTTGAAGCCTGGTGACTACCATAAGTTCCCTATAAGTTAACTATTTATTTATTCAAGAAGCAGGTTAATGAAGTGATAATTGATGGAGATATAGCACAGTTCATGACGGGTCATGCTGCTACGGCAATCCGATGCCCACCCCTTTCCTTCTATTCTACTCTGTTACATAAAGCTGAAGTTTAACTCGTTAGTTTTCTCAAAAAAGAATAATTAAAAAATACTGGTACACAACATAAAACAGAACTCATTAAGATGTATAAGAGGTATGTCAACTTCTTAAAAATGCAACATTTGGGACTGCACGTGCATATTTCAAGAAGAGTCGAGCCACACAAAACATTGAAGATGGCCATAAGACTGACATGCCTGATTTACAACTATTGTTTCAAGGAAAAATCATTTCTGACTCTAGATAATGTAATAAGCCTTGCAACCATACACCTGAATCTGCACTAAATAAATTATCAAAGCCAATGAGTTATGCAAACTCACAAGGAACACATCTGAAAAGTGTATGTACTCCATTTTCACTCTTGTTTAAATACATTTTATCACTTTCCACATACTCTGTATGATGATAAGAATGGTTTGCATTGAGACATTTCTGAAGTGGAAATCAAATTCTTACATACAATAGCAAATAAATTGTGCTTATTTCAAAATCTGTTATGATATTTCACGAGTACATACAGTATTGTGGAGTAAAGTAACGACTAGTACGGGATTCTAAATTGTACATTCAGAACAACAAACACATCATTTACCTGGAGCAATTAAAACAATTTGAATAGAAAACTAATCACTACACCACAAAGACAAAATTTCTTCACCATCAGAATACACACGAAGCAGCCTACAACACATCCGTTACTAAAATGCAGAACACAGTTTTGACATAGCTGCGAAGCTAAGCCACACTAACCTAACCCCACCCAAACAAACTGGTACATCACTGGATCAAAAACAACAAGCTATTCTACACTTCAACCCATCCAAACTGCAAATGTAACTTCACATACAATTCTAAAAAAATTTAACACCAAGAGGAAACAGTTCATCCTAGCAACATATAATCATCGGCTCAAAGAATGCAAGACAAAATAATACTTAAAAAATAATAATTAATAAAGCATACATATTCCTCACATTAACATGTAAACTTCAAGGTCCTCATCACGCAATTCAGTGCCTGTACCATGTAAAATTAAAAGTAATAATTCCAACAATTAAATATTATGTGAAATTAATACAAATTAAATGTTCTATGGTTAATGAATTATTCCCTATACCACAGTTTATTTCTCTGTCAGAACCTTTTAAACTTGCATACTCTGAAGATCATGTAATACAATTTTTAAATGGCATTAATTCTTAATACCATTTATAGATAATACTGAAACACAGGGACAACTTTACCTTTAATCGATCACTACAAAGAAGCACATAAATAAGTACTGTACTCTTCTTACCTCACGGATGATCTTGCATCCCTTGACAGGTCCGATCTGAGAAAACAAGGCACAGACAAGATCTTCAGATACAGAGGCATCCAAATTCCCGACGTACCTAGGAACACACAAGACACACGTGCTTATATTAATAAACACACAAGCCTTCTTACATTATGTTCCAAGATTCAAATGCAATGACAGCAGGAAGCATTCTTTAGCAGAATCGAAATGTGTACTTACAAGGTTCTAGGATGGCTCTCCTCACTCATTATCTGTAAACAAACGAATAAATATAAAAAAGTGACTTAAAATGTTCTTTATATTCAAACAGACATCACATTCTAAACAAACATACCTGTCTTGAGATCATATTCCGCACCACTACACAATCACAAACACAAACACATTGTGCAAAATGCCTTCTTACGCGCATGCGTCAGTAGTGGTATTATGGGAATGAACTTTCGCGCCATTTGATCAATAGCCAATTATTGAAGGCCAGTCAATGCAGACGATGTTTAAAAAAAGACATTTTGGAATAATGAGAAGTGTTACAAATGCCCTTTGATCTGCTATACGGTGAGGAGATCTTGCAAAGCTAAACTCATATGCCTGAAAGGCCCGGAAATAATCAAAAATAACTTCGTGTAAATTCCGTAGGAACTCTTTTATTTCCCCACACCAGCCCTTACCAGACAGGAAATACTATCATCCATCACAAATAGGGCT